GGTCCCTCTGGTACCAAGCCTAAGAATAGAGGGGAAAAAAATCCTGGCAATGCAACAGAAACAATTTCTTTTTAGAGGAAGGGTCTCACTCTATCACCCAGGCTGAAGTGCAGTGATACGACCAAAACTCACTGCAGCCTTGAACTATTGGTTTCAAGGGATCTTCTCACTCCAGACTCCCAAGGTTCTGGGATTCCAGGTGCCAGCCATTGCACCAAGTCCAGGACCATCTTTTACCATCATCTTTCACTTCAAGATAAACCGAGGCATGTGTTGGATGGAAGGAAAGTGGAGATACCATGTCCTCTCATCTTACTTCCTTTCAGTAAAGAAGCTTAACTCCATTAAACACTGGTGGTGATTGTATATTTAGAAGTAATTCAAAATGTAAAGGACTTTGAATGCATTTTAATGTAAGAAAAACTGATTGTATTAAAATGCTTTAAGATATCACAATGACTTATTTATCACTCTATGCATCATGAGCATAACTTTCTTTCCAAGCATTGATTTTTAAAATATGTTTTGGAAGTGGAAAAAGAATAAAAACAGTCTTTCAGAATTCTCCTTCACTATCCTTCGTGAAGAGAGCCAGGTTCATTGGCTGACAGAGACTATTTCAAAAGAGTAGAAATTCTTTTTTTCAAAGGGGTAGAATTATCTAATTAGAGATGTTTCTTAAACAATAAAAGATAGGTTATATTTTTCTAATCTGTGATTTGCTGAGTTGAAGCATGAACTGTCAAATATTTATGATAAAGCATTCATAGTTAAGTACACAGAATTAACCAGCTTGAAATATTATTGAGGTCCTTGTATGATGTAGAAACTTCTGTTTTTATTGTTTAAAAAATTCATGAAAAAGTTATATTCTTCTTTAGATTGACTTAAAATTGATTTAAAATTTAAAGCATTTCAAATAAGAAATTTCACCATTGTTTAAGTTAAACATTGAGAGAAAATTACATTGTTACTTTTTTTCTATTAAGGAGCTTCTTAGACTCCAAGGTATTTAGTAGAATTCAGAGTAAATCTCTCTAAAATTTTTAATTTTACTTTTTTGGCAGTTTAGCTCTTACTATGTCACTTATTCTGCCTACAATATGAAATGTATAGCAATAATTATATATAGTTTTCCTAACTTGAAGTATCTTACATTTTGGCTTATTATTCTTATACTTTTATACTCAAGATTATCTTATTTCAAAAGAGGAAGTGCATTTCAGGGAATAATTTGAATGTAAGAACATGTCATCTGGGAATTAGAACTAGGCTGATGGTCAGGTAGGCATCACACCATTAGTTCCCTTGTTATTTACCACGGAATAAAAAGTCAACACGGCTGGGCACAGTGGCTCATGCCCATAATCCCAGCACTTGGGAGGCAGAGGTGAGAGGATTGCCTGAGCCCAGGGGTTCCAGACCAGCCTGAACAACTTAGAGAGACCTCATCTCTACAATAAGTCAAAAAATTAGCCAGATGTGGTGGCACATACCTGTAGTCTCAGCTACTTGGAAGGCTGAGGTAAAAGGATCACCTGAGCACAGCAGGTCGAGGCTGCAGTAGCTGTGAGTGTGCCACTGCACTTCAGCCTGGGCGGCAGAGTGAGACTCTGACTCAAAAAAAAGAAAGAAAGATAGAAAAGGCAACATGAAAGTCTTTTTTTTTTGCTACTGGTGTCTGGCTTTTTTGCAGCTACCTTTACCTCTGTGACAGAGTAGGGGGTAGTAGAGCAATACAGACTGCAAAGTGAGAGCCATAGAAGAGCCAAGATCACTGGGGCCAGTGGACTGAACATGGCTGCACTGATGTTAAGAACAGACCCTAAAGTCCAGGATACTTGGGCTCAAATCTAAATGCTCAATAACTGCATGATTTGGGCAGTTACTGTTTCTATTTCGGTTTCCTTGTCTTCATCTGTAAAAGAAGGGCTACTAGAGAGTTGAATGAATATATATATATGTATATATATTCACTTAAGAGATAACATAATATATAAATACACATATAAGATATATATATTCACTTAAGATATATATGAACATACATGTATATTCACTTAATCACACACACAACACACTTAATCACACAACACAACACACACTTAGAGCAGTTCCTGGTAGGTGGTAAGTGCTACTTAAATATAAGTTATTGTATTGCCTTCTCATTTCTGTGTTTGAATTACTAAATGAGTAATAACACTGAATGATCTGATAGTTCCTTCTTTTTCCTGTTTTGTTTTGTTCTTTTTTTTGAGGTGGAGTTTTTCTCTGTTGCCCAGGCTGGAGTGCAGTGGCACACTCCCAGACACTGCAGCCTTGACCTGCTGGGATCAGGTGATCCTTCCGCCTCAGTCTTCCAAGTAGCTGGAAATACAGGTGCGTGCCACCACACCCAGATAATTTTTTTGGTTTATTGTAGAGATGAGGTTTTACCAAACCCAGGTTGGTCTGGAACCCCTGGACTCAGGCACTCCTCTTGCCTTGGCCTCCCTAAGTACTGGGGTTACAGACTTGAGCCACTGCGCCTGGTTTGCTTTTTTCTTAAAGAATCAATGGTTGCAACAAAATGTCACTTTTAAGAAGTTAAGGAGGCCTAGGTGAGAGGATTGCCTGAGCCCAGGGGTTCGAGACCAGCCTGGGCAACTTGGTAAGACCTCGTCTCTATAAAAAAAAAAAGAAGGTGAGTATAGGCAAAACGAGAAGCCCTAAAGCAAGGTGCTGAGCTAATAGACAGCTGAATCGCTTCCTGAATCCATAAGAACTGGTTCTTTGTGATGCTAGGACTATTAATTGGCTTTTGTTTTAGAGATGATGGATTGATTTTCCAGGAAAAGGCATGATGATAGCCCTCATAATCACTTAAACAGCAGTCTGGCAAATTAGTATAATCTCATATAAATCAAAACACTAGAATGTGAGCTTCACCAGGACAGAGAATGTCTGTTGGTTCACTGCTGTACTCCCAGAGTCCAGGCAAGTGATTGGCAAATATTGGAGGCTCTATTTCTTGAGTGACTATTTCTTGAGTGAACTGAATAAATGACAACCTTGACCTTTCCTTTAAATAAGATTAACATAAAAGGCAAAGCAAAATAGTGTGCTTTCCTATTTCCTGATGAATTGCTAACCCTGAGACTGCTGGTAGGTAGGCAAGAAAGCAGGGCTGAGGAACGTGTGGAGGACAGAGCGCAAATGTGTACTTGAAGCAAGTATTTCAGAAGTCATGCACTTGGTGAAGTATTCACAGGAATGTGTGGTGTAAAATGATGTTACACTCCGATTCATGTGTCACATTCGAATTACAAATATTTTGTCCAGCATCTGTCTAACTTTAGTGTCTACACTCATACTTTTTTCTCTGCAGGGTTTTCAGAAATCTTTGATCTGTGACCCAGTGTCATAAATAACTTTTCTTAGTGAAACTATGCAAATAGATTGTTTGTAAGTTACTGTGAAGTATGGTTCGGACTTAGATTGTTTCTCCCTACACCTGGCTGATTTCATCCCTCTTAGTCAGCGAGTGAGCTCTGACGGACACGCAGATTGCCAGTAACAAGTCATGGGGTGCAGGTAATAAACAAGCTGAAAGAAATGTAAGCATCACTCTTAGTCAATATAATTATAAACATAGTGTAGCAGTTTGAATAATTGCTTGATTATAAAACCGCCTGAGGTGAGGATTTTTCACTGACAATTAGCCATCCGGTGGCTCCTGTAAGTTCTAATAAAGCAATGTGTTTCCCTGTTGGTTACTTCTATAGAAGAGGTAAGCATTATATGTGCAAGCCCTCTCGGATTTGGGGATACCACATTACAGTTACTACTCAGCTTTGATAGGCTCAAATAATGCTTGGCATGATCTGTTTCACAGGTGGGGTTGATTATACAGCATTACCTATAATTTAGCTCACAACCTCATACAGTGGACTAAAATAACGCTCTTAGACCTATGTCTAACAAATTTAAATATGTATTTTCTATCCCCATAGCAAATATTGCTTAAAAACAAAAAGGCTCCTTTCTTAAAGCAGGGCAAGCTGATGATTTCAATAGAAAACTACCTATTTGTACACACTGTAAGTTTCCCTAATTATCTTTGTAATAAAAACTGAGAAGGTATTAGTTATCCTAGACTGAACCTTACTCAATTCTTACTATCTTTTATAAATATAAAGCAAACAACCCCAAAGTACATTATTAATTAATTACCTATGATTTCTTAAAATGACTTACATCATCTCGTTTAATTTTAGAGCTTCCAGACATTAATAATAAGTTACCACAAAGCTACCACTGATTTATAATGTGCATTACCACATAAGGTCTGGTCCAAGAACTTTGGGCCCAGAAGGAAAAAGAGGAAAGTTTTTAAGTGAGCCATGAGAGAAAAATGAAAATGTATCTGTACTCACAGAAAACAATTAGGCCTAATGTAATTGGAGTGAACACTTAGGTTCATTTTATTTGAAGGTACTGTTTCTATGCTTGAAGTTCCATATAGAAAAGGGTCCTTAGGGTTAGAACACTATGGAAGGTGATATAGTTTCACTTGGCCCTTGGACATGTAGGGTAAACATTTTACATTATTGCACAGTAACAAAAATTTACAGCCATAGGTAACACAGTATCTGATCAACGTGAACACACCTGGTGTTTAAGGCTAACCCACATTGGAAAGTAGTCATTTCCAGGCTGGAGATCAAATATCTTAACACAGTGTCACTTGTCTGAGTTGCTAGAAAAGATTTCTCATTTAAAAATCTATTCATAGGATGCACTTTCACATTCATCGGCTTCCTTTCACCTGTGTGCTAGACAGAGGCACTTTAAGAGCTATTACCTGTAGTTTCAGGAGTACAAGACATTGAGTTTCAGCAGTGATTGGTAAATATGGCAAGAAACTAAAATGAAATTGTTTAAAAAGAAAGTAAACAAATTACTAAATCAGAAAATCTTGCCATATACTGTAAAAATCACTGGTCTGTGATTTAAGGAAGTTCCTTACCCCCCCCCCCCCAAAATTAGTAGCTATCACTTATGTATACTCATATAAGTAAATACTACAGCTTTCTGATGTTAAGGTATAATGGTTTTGCTGTTTGGGCTTGTCAAGGTTTTAAAATATTGACGAGTTAAGTACTTTATGTTTCGAGTGATATTTTAAAGTATTGTATTATCCATAGGTTCCAAATAGTCAGAAAGACTAAAACATTTTGGAAGAGTTTAGTAAAGTGTATAAAAATTAAAAGACTAAAAAAAAAAAAACAACAACAAACCACTCCATTTTAAATGTGTAAAAATAAATCGCATTCATTTGTGGGAATCCGGTGACATTTTCTCTTTCTCTTCCTTCCTTTCTTTTTCCTTTCTTCTTTTTCTTTTTTGGTTTTAGTTAGTTGGCACGTACTGCACCCGCCACAACACGTTGGAAAGCAGGTCCTGGTACACACTGAGGAATATCCAGCCAGGTAAATACATCAGGGTGATGAGACCCATGAAGTTGAGCGGGTAGTGAGAATAGTCCCAGGAGCAAGCCCCGCACATGCGGAGTCCCAGACCCCAGGACAACTCCCACGCGTAGATGAAGAGCACGTAGATGGGCACCCGCTTCCAGGTGCCCCAACCACGGCTGTGGTGCAGGTGGAAGTAGAGCTTTTCCACCACGAAACTGCAGCTTCCGTACATAAAGAAGGACCAGATCGACGTGTGGCCGCTGGTGGCCCCGGCCCCCTGCCCCAGCACGTTGAAGAAGAAGGTGAAGAAGATCTCATCCAGAAAGCCGTGCATCCCGAAGAAAAGAAAGCGCAGCAGGTCCGGCAGCCCG